ATATATCTATATAAGGTATGTAGATAAACATACCATATATCTATATAAGGTATGTAGATAAACATACCATATATCTATATAAGGTATGTAGATAAACATAACTTATATCTATATAAGGTATGTAGATAAACATAACTTATATCTATATAAGGTATGTAGATAAACATAACTTATATCTATATAAGGTATGTAGATAAACATAACTTATATCTATATAAGGTATGTAGATAAACATAACTTATATCTATATAAGGTATGTAGATAAACACAACTTATATATAGGAATGTCTATAAAAACCCCACAATGATCCGAGGGGACAATAAACAAACAACCACAAAGAGGCAGAAAGTAGGACGACAACAAAGATGCAAAATGGCCATGAGATCTGTAAACGCGTTTGTGAACGAGCCACTGAACAGGTTTCATGTTTCCTCGTGGAGCAGCATCATCACGTCTTCTGTTCATACATCACAAAGATGGTTATTTATGGCGTGCTTTATGGTTTACATGTTCATCAGGTCTTTCTGATCCGACTCCTCCGAGGTTGGGGGTCAGGGACTGATGGAGCTGCCATTTCAGGTTCTTTCATCAGAGCCGTTAAAATGAGGCCAGTCCTTGAATCAGCATAAATCCTGCTCAGTTTGTGTGTTCTCGTTCCTCCGCTCGCTCCCTGCCAGCCTTGTGTGTTCTCTCTGGGGAGCTGGGACTCATGCATAATTAAAACTCCCTCACAGACTCTTCCGAGCAGCACTGCAGCACATATGGCCTGTCAGAGGAGGGTCGTGGAGGAGTCCTGAGTTTCACTGCAGATAGACGCTTTACTTACAGTCTAAGGGGCCTGAAGACTGAACCAGGACCCGGGATCCTGCACAGGTCCTTGAAACACAGAGGGCTTTGTTCCAGCCTGTTTTCATAACGGATGAATGTCCCTGAGGGAAAGTGATTGAAGCTAACATGTTTCCGTCCAAAGAGATTCTTGGCACAAAGCGCTGCAAGGCCTTTTCACACTGCTGGCACAAACACGCAGTGAATTGGCATTCTGATGAAGACAGCGAGGGAACAGGAAACAGGGAACAGGGAACAGGAAACAGAAAGCTCCACCACCAGCAGCTCCACCACCAGCAGCACCCCAGTAGCTTCACCACCAGCTCCACCACCAGCAGCTCCACCACCACCAGCAGCTCCACCACCACAGCATCTCCACCACCAGCAGCTCCACCACCAGCTGCTGACTTAAAGGGAACTGATCCAAGATTGATTCTTCAAAGTTCAGAGTTCAGAGGGAAACTTGAAGTTTGAGTGATTCAGAAACATCTTCTGTCATTATAAAGATATTCTGGTTGATTTGTTGTTTTTTTTATAACAGGTCTGTGTTCTTTACAGTGATATTCAAAGTTTTTTTCACCTTTACCTTGGAGAAAAACTTGCTGAGGAGTATTGAAGCTCAAAGATCTCTACGCAGTGATTTAGACACTTGAACATCAGCTCAGAGTCTTTGCTCGTTTCTTTCATGTGAAAATAAAATCTGCTGTTTTTTTCATGGTCCACCTTCAGAGGACTGTGGCTTCACTCTCTGTGTTGTCGTCTTTCTTTAGGGTTCATTCTTTGGACGTTTGAGGCACTTCATCGCCATCATCGACCCGAGCACGCTGTTTGTGTCCGAGGTAACGTCTTCATTGCTATTAAATATATAAACTCTGTACTATAGTTAAACACAAAGGTACAGACACAGTTCTTTAAAGGAACATTATTTCATTTGTGAGATGTAATTAAAATGTATTTAAGTTTCTCTCATGCTGCAGTTGGCTCATTTAGACACTCTCACTCGGTTTCTTTTTCTCTGTTTGTAGAAACAGCTGAAAGAAAGCATCAAACTTCTGGATGACTACAAACATGGCTCCCTTTCTCCTGGAGTCTCTGATCTTCAGGTGAGGTTTACTTTGTCCACTAAAGTGTGACATGATGAGCTGACCCTGAGATATCAGGTTACCACGTTCACCTTCACCAGTCGTATTCAAAAACAACAAAAACATTCAAAAACAACAAAAACGCCAAGATGACTCAAAAAACTTTAATTGACACAAAATCTACAAACAGAAACTTGCAGAAGAGATTGTTTTCTCATCATCACCGTCATTAAACAGCTGATGTGTTTAAGTAACACTCTGGATACACATCTGTCAGACCACCACAGAACCACAATCTACACATCTGTCAGACCACCACAGCAGCTACAATCTACACATCTGTCAGACCACCACAGAACCACAATCTACACATCTGTCAGACCACCACAGCAGCTACAATCTACACATCTGTCAGACCACCACAGAACCACAATCTACACATCTGTCAGACCACCAGCAGCTACAATCTACACATCTGTCAGACCACCACAGCAGCTACAATCTACACATCTGTCAGACCACCACAGCAGCTACAATCTACACATCTGTCAGACCACCACAGCAGCTACAATCTACACATCTGTCAGACCACCACAGCAGCTACAATCTACACATCTGTCAGACCACCACAGAACCACAATCTACATCTGTCAGACCACCACAGCAGCTACAATCCACACATCTGTCAGACCACCACAGCAGCTACAATCTACACATCTGTCAGACCACCACAGCAGCTACAATCTACACATCTGTCAGACCACCACAGCAGACACAATCTACACATCTGTCAGACCACCACAGCAACCACAATCTACACATCTGTCAGACCACCACAGCAGCTACAATCGGCACATCGACTTCTTTTCATATTAAAGAGGTTAATCAAAGTGATATTGGTAAAGTCATAATGCAGTTAAGGCAATCTAAAGCTAAGGATTATTTTAGATTAGATACTTTATTTATTAAAAAACACAGTTCTGTTGTTCAAGTGCCAATGACTCATGTTGTCAACTGCTCTATCAGAAGTAATGAATTTCCTGAGCCCTGGAAAAAGGCAATTATAACTCCCATTCACAAGGCTGGTTCACCTGACCTGGTCTCTAATTACAGGCCAATTTCTATCCTACCTGCACTCTCAAAAGTTCTTGAGAAAACAGTTGCTAAACAACTTGTTGATTACTTGAAAATAAACACCTACTGCACCCAAACAATTTGGGTTCAGAGCAAGGTATTCAACAGAGTTGGCAAACTGCTGCCTCACAGAAACTATAAAACAGTTGTTAGATGAGGGGAATGTAGTGGTGGCAGTATTCTTGGATTTGAAAAAAGCCTTTGATACTGTTAACCATGAAATTCTCCTTAATAAACTCAAAACATTTACTTTCTCAGATGAGGCAATTGCTTGGTTCCATACATATCTTAAACATAGAGAGCAGTGGGTTAGATCCAATTCTACCCTGTCAACTGTCCAGGCTTGTTCAATGGGAATTCCACAATGTTCTATATTAGGCCTTTACTTTTTAGCTTATAATTAATGATTTACCAGACAGTTGTAAAAGAGCCAGATGCCAAATGTATGCGGACGACACCGTGGTATTTGCGTCTGCAAAAACTCCTCAGTTGGCAGCCAAAACTCTATCAGAAGAGATGTCTGGTGTATCCCAGTGGCTCAGAAACAATCATTTGACTTTAAATGATAAAAAGACAGTGTCATTGTGCTTTTCAATTAAAAGAAAAGCCAACGAAAATTCCGGAGTAAAGATTGATAAGATAGAGATAGATCAAGTAGATGAGTTCAAATTTTAGGTGTTATTTTAGATTCTCAGCTTAAATTTAATAGACATGTAAAGAAGCTGTGCAAAACTGTCAAGACCAACTTAAATTGCTTTCGCCTAATAAGACAATATATATCGCTTAAGGCAGCACAACAATTTATGCATGCCATGATATTTTCCCATTTGTCATATTGTATAACCGTTTGGGGTCAAGCCAACCAAACAACAATGACACCAATCATTATACAAACAGGCACTTAAAATAATGGATCAGAAACCTGCTAGATGGCATCATTGCCAAATTCTCAAGAAACACAATTTACTGGGTTTTGACAGCTTTGTAAACTTTTCATTTTTAAATCTCATTTTCAAGTGTATGAACAGCCTTGCTCCAGAAATACTCTACCAATTAATAAACAAATAGAACAGTAGAATTAGAACTAGGGGTGCAACAAGCGGAAATTGTAGAATAGCGAAACGCAAAACAACATTCGGACAATCATCCTTTGCAGTAATAGGCACCAAACTGTGGAATACATTACCATCAGAAATTAAAACATTGACAGAGCACAAGGTTTTTAACACACAAGTAAAACAATGGTGAAACTGAATGTGAACATTGACCCGTACATACGCACACTCTCTCACACACACACACACACACACACACACACACACACACACACACACACACACACACACACACACACACACACATTATTTGTTGTCCTTGTTTTTGTCCTTATGTCTCCTGTATTTGACGTGTTCTTTAGTCTTATTTGTATGTAACATTTAGTAAAGGTCTAACCAGGGAAAGGGGTTGAAAATTAGTCTTGGCTAGAAACCTGTATGCATGGCATCTATTTTATATTTTATATGAAATAATGTACAATGTATTTGTCCTGCTCAATAAACTTCTAAACAAACAAACATCTGTCAGACCACCACAGCAGCTACAATCTACACATCTGTCAGACCACCACAGCAGCTACAATCTAAACATCTGTCAGACCACCACAGCAGCTACAATCTACACATCTGTCAGACCACCACAGCAGCTACAATCTACACATCTGTCAGACCACCACAGCTACAATCTACACATCTGTCAGACCACCACAGCAGCTACAATCTACACATCTGTCAGACCACCACAGCTACAATCTACACATTTGTCAGACCACCACATCAACACAATCTACACATTGTCAGACCACCACAGCTACAATCTACACACCTGTCAGACCACCATCAACCACAATCTACACATCTGTCAGACACCACAGCTACAATCTACACATCTCTCAGACACAC